GGAAAGAAAGCTGCAAACAGATGCTGGCAAGAGGCTGACGGATCCTTTGGCCGGTGGAGGAACCAGGGGCCCAGGGGCAATCACAGGGCCTTGGCTTTTGCAGCAAAACTATTGTGAAGGAGAGACCTCCTAGAGTAGGAGGGCCCTCCTGGGAATGCTTCAGGCGAGATTCGAGCTTTGTGCACAAGCAGAGAAGACCCTGAAAGATTCAAACAAAATGACACAGCAAGCATGAGGTGCTGCTGAATGAGCCTCCTTTGGCCACCCTGCTTTCAGCAGCATCAGCTGATCTCGCCTTCTTCTCAGGAGGAGCCTTAGCTGTCACACTTGAAAACTTGGAGGGCAACAAACAAAATTGACCAAGCAGCAGCTGGGGGATTGGACGGAATACGGATTTGGCTGGTCCTGCCAGGCTCCTTGGATGCCTCAGTTCAGCTTTTGGGCTATTCATCTTATCTTACCAGGAGAGCCCTCCTCAGCAGGAGAGCCCTCCTTTTACAGCAAGGCTAAATGCTTCCAGGTGCCCCAGCTGGCTCCCCCCAGCCCAGATCGGGCTCGCCCTGCTGGTGCCACTCTCTGACCTTCTGGATCCAAACCTTCCGCTGCAAGCCTTTGTTTTTTTTGGCCTTCTTCTTTATCAACTCTTTGTTAGAGTTCCAAACGTCCTCTGGCTTGTCAAAGCTCCCAGAGGGGTGGTGTTTGCTCTTGGTGGCATAGGGGTCCCACTTGCTGTCCCTCTGGCCATAAATGTAGAGCGTGCCTTAGCTAACACAGGACTGCAAAAGTGCAACTGCTACACAAAAAAAAGGAGAGCCCTCCTTGTTAGGAGAGCCCTCCTCATCAGACAAGATGCAGTTGTAGTTCAAGCACCCACCAGATCGGATGTAGGAGTACAGGTGCTTGCACTTCTTGCAATATCTCACATCCACCTGGGACATATCACTCTTGTCTGGGTCCTCAGGAGGATCTTCGTCCTCCTCCCAGTCATCATCCTTCTCCCACCACTTCTTGCCCCATCCCCAGTTGCCTGCCAGGCTTAGACTCAAGCACACAAACCAAACAACTCTAACTGAAAAACCTGCCTGGAGGAGGAGGAGGGGGAGGTGCTGCTGCTGCCATTGCTGCGCAGAACTGCCAAAAAAAAACCACACACAAGCTTGAAGCAAAGTCTGCGAAAACACACCTGCAAAGCAACACAACAGCAACATGTCTGCCCTGCACTGCAAATCCACACTCAAGCTTCACATGCACTGACAGCTTCTCAAAATGCAACCGACATGTCTGCGCTTACAAAAAATGTTTTGCCCTGGTGCCTGAGATTTTCTTCAATCAAGTGAATTAAGTTCAAATTGGGGTTTCGCTGGCTGCAGCAAGGCCTGCCTCATATCACAAGAGTCTTTGTGAAACATGAAGCCTTTCTTGCATTTACTACAGCAGTGCTTATGTGGTGCTGTCACCAATCTACTGCAGTTCGCAGTTAAACATGTCCTAGGGTCGCCCTCACTGCCACCCCCCAGGTTCTTGCTCTCCAAAGTCTGCATCTGCGAATCACACCTTCTGCTGTGGCCATACCCCACCCTGCAAGGCTTGCAGCAGTGCGACCGAGAAAGGTCAGGACCAACTGTTCTGGAACACCCTTGTGTCAAGCACAGCTTCTCCCAGCTGCTGCTGGCCATTGCTAGTTCTAGCTCCTAAAAACTCTAAGGAAACTGGGGCCCCAATGCCTGCTGATGAAAACTTGCAACAGGGGCTGTTGGCTATGCTGCTTGGCATGAGTCAAAACATAAGCCTCAGAGCTGTGCTCAAGCAACAGCAGACAAATGCAAATTCGCACAAAGCCTTGGGGATTTTTGCCTTGCCATTGTGCCAGTGCTGCAGTGGTCTGCTCAGGCTTTCTGTTCCTTTTCCTTCTTGAAAAGAGCCCTTGCTGCTTGGAAGGTCATCTTGCCTTCCAGGATTCTGGATTGGGCATCCTTTGCACAGGCCTGGTAGTCTTTGTAGTGCTTTTCAGAAAACTCTACCACCAAACTTTGCTTGTGCTTCGAATTGTTGCAGTAGCAAGCTGTAACATAGCTTCTGGCTGCAGTTGAGCCATGTGCCTTAGCTTTGGTCACCCTCACTCGATGCAGCTCGGTAGTGCTTTGCAGCTCCAGCTGCTCAGCACTGATCTCTGCAGCCTTGGATTTTTTCTTGGCAGCTGCTTTCTTGGCAGGCTGTTTCGAGGTATGCCGAACCAAGACTTCAGGAGGCTTCTTACTGCTCAGCTCTTCAATCTTGCCAGAGGCATAGGCTCTCACATAGCAGCCCCTGCAGCTGTCAAAGTACTC